GTGTTGCTGACCGGGCAAGTGCGCTACAAAATACGCTACCGGACGAATAGATATAGAATAGAATACGAAAGACAAAATAGTTAATACGGAGGTGACCGATACCCTCCGAAAAGGAAGGGGATCGTAAAAATTTTGGAATTTGCGCAAAGTATGGTTGACCCTGTTCGTATCCCCCCTTTGGCGCGCCTAGTCCACCTACAATCCATCCAAGACACATGACATGTTGTAACTATGGCCGGTCCATTTTTTCGAGACAAAATCTTCGAGACAATTTCCTTGAGACCCTGTTTGTAGGGGTACATCAGTACCCAGATCGAGAAAAAAAGTACTCTTTCAGAGCGCCGGTTCCTTTGATGCCCCAACGATTCCTCCAGTTGCCGGAGAAAACTCGTTTTCATGGGACATTCCTAACTCAAATCCATTATAAGATCAGGCTATTTGGCACTCTTCATGAGGTCCCGGCTGAAAATGCAAAGAAGAACAACCGCCGTAGGCAGTCAAATCAAGGATCACCCGCTCGCCATCGCGCTATCCACTGGATCACTGTACACAAGAATTCTTGAGGACCGCCTATGAAATCATAACACTTTAGCACCTAACTCATTGTTAGGCGAACGCATCTTCGTCCGAACTCCGTGTTGTTTTTGAGGTGCGCCTAACGAAAACGTCTTTATATGAAGCTAATCATCGTTGTGGACAATGCACACCACAAAGAAGCAACAAAATCGGCAGTTTTCGGGGTAACTTATAACTGATTTTTTACTAATTTTTTAGTGTTCAGAGAACCGTTGACGAAACATGAACCATTGTTTACTTACGTACCCATGCAAAATGCAAAGGTGCCCCCTCATGCAAGAAACCACTTGGAAAAGGTTTTGCGCGACCTGAACGACTTTTCTTGTACGAGTGAGGCTTTCTTTCTGTCGCTTACTCTTCTTTGTAGTATATGTGTAAAAGCACAAGTCACTAAATACACTAAAAACCTTTATTCAAATAACTTGTAGAAGCTCCTTATTTCTTGCAGATAAAATAACGATAAGCGGCATGCAATTGATCGCCACAGTCATATCCATAAAGAGCAAAGCTTGAGCTGTCGATGCTCATCTGAAAATTCCACTTGAAAGTTTCCAAGAAAATATGACTTATTACTTCGACTTTTATTTTCTTGTGGTCACCCTCTTCCTAATGTATGGCGAGAGCGCTCTTAAGGGCAGGGTGACGACCGCATTGGCCTTTTCCTTCAAAAATTGGATATGAAGTGAGAAGAGAAACGTTAGCAGGAAAAAAACACACTAAAGGAAACACAGAAATTCTTTTGAGGTGGGCGGTGAGACGATGGAAAGACAGGAAAGACAGGAGAGATAGTCGAGAGAACACCTCGGACGTGAGAGGGCGCAGACCCCACGTAAGTTGCGATAGGGATGGCAATGGTCGCAGCGGCTAAGATAAGGCATTGGATTCCTTGCCGGGCACTTTCGATTCGCAAGTCAGGGCCTGCCCACCGTTTGAAATGATAGTGTATGCGTGCTCTCTACGACTCAGCACAAAATGGAGTTGCATCCTCAGGAAGTATTTTTTTTTATTAGTTTGCGCCGCTGCAAAGGCACCTCCTCCATCTTTCGCCCGCTCATCGCCCTTCGCTGAGAATGACACTGTTGTTAGGGACCCTGTCGCAAAAACGACAACCGTGAAGGAAAAGCCCTGGGCAAATGAAGTTGTTCTTCAGGCTATAGGAGTTACGAAATGCGTTTACTACAATGCAGCTTCTGTCAACTGGTTATGATCATATAACACCTTCGAATCGATTCTGCAACTTCGAGTGAAGTCGAACGCATGGCCTATACCCAGACAAAATCACATAATAACGACTGCCCCTTTTCTTATTGCTTGTCTTGAAAGGATGTATTCTAGACACATTTCAAGCGTTACCAACAATCACAGTTGCAATGGTGAAGAAGGCAGCGGCTTTCTAGCGGCCGAAATCATCCTTGATATATCCTCGAAGTAGATATATTTTTAATTGAAAAGTTTTGGAAGAATCTAAACAGGCTTTCAGGAAGCGCAAACCTTCCGCTTTTCAAAACTGTCTTCATTTTTTCAAGGTCTTGTAAAATTAGAGAGATATGCCTTTTAGAACGCAAAAACTAAGATTAAAATTCAGCATCTCGACACTCCTTGATGGATTTGAACATATAAAAAATAAAGGATAAAGCATTTGCCGTTGATCAATCCCTTTTTGGGATGCGGCACGCATTCTACTTCCATTTGTACATTCG